CAGTGGAGACAATGTTCGCCAATTAATGTGGGAAAAGGATTTGTTTCCTACGGTCGCCCAATTAAAACTGATCAAAGATAATGCACTTAGGAATAGCTTCTCCGCTCGCTAATGAACAAAAAGTCCCCCCTTCTATCCACCCTTACCATCTCGAATGAATAACTGAAAAAAATTCCTTTCATTAATATTAAAAATTGCCGCCATACATGCGTGGAAAATAAAGCACTTCTCATTTTTTGGTGTTTTTTTTCCACCCTCGCTAAGGCGCTGTCTTTAATTTGGAAGCTGCTTTTTTCTAATCGGGCCCCGTTTCGCATTTAATCAACATACTAACTCATTTTCTTTGAGCCCCCTTTTCCCAGACCCCCTATACCTCCCGTTCGACTTAATTTACAGGTTCTACCTTCTAATCTCGTCTCCCTGAATAAAGGAAGAAAAAAGAGAGAAATTTTGTTCGCAAGGAGAAAGGTTGGCGAAATTGTCTAATTAATTTCAAAGTTAAATTTTTATGGGGAATTTTATGTTTTGCGCGTTAATTTAATAAGTTTATTTTTGCGAGAGATTCTTCTTTTTTTTTTCCTAGTTACCTTTTTAAAATAATTTTTTGAGCTCTTTCTTCCTCTTATATGAAAATTACTCGTTCGAAATTTTCCGTTCAGCATTTTCCTTTGCGTTGGATACAAATTAAAAGAGCCAGGCGTTTTCTTGGATTAAAGATTTCTCGAATGGAATTGGGAGAAGGTGGTGGTGGCAGTGAAAAAAGAGGAAAATTTTAATTTAAAACTATATTAAACCTTGGACAAAAGGCTTTCTACTTTTCGTTTAACCGTTTCGTTTAAGAGCGAAATTTCATTAGCTGCCTTCATTAGCGCGTCCGGTCTTACAAAAACCAATTTCCGGGAATGATTATTAAGAGAGAGGAGTTTTTAGTTAAGTTTTTTTTTTTTTTTTTAAATGGAGTAATCTTTTTTTTTAAATAGGCTTTTAGAAAAGGGCTTCCTAACATGTTCCAATGACACGGGAAGCGTTAATTTTTTTTCCCTACAATCATTTTGTAAATTACGTTCGTGTTCTTATAACTTTTCACTCTAATTATTTGACTTAATTGTTTAAAAAACTATAATTGTTTAAAAAACCACAGAAGTGTATTAAACTGGGTAACGTTTTCTATAATGATTACTTTAGACTTTTGAAAAAAAAAAAAAAAAAAAAAAAAAAAATCAGCGATGTCGTTCGGCCAGTAAACACTGATTTTACAGCTGTTAAAACTAATTTTGATTACTGAACAACTGTTAAACCAAATAAATAGTTAAAGAAAGTAAAGTGGAAACAGTTACATGGTCAAAACATACTTTTTTTTTGCTTTAGTCCTTAATAGGAAACATTTTAATGAATTATATATAATATATATATATATATATTTAAAAAAAAAATTAAACTTACGCTTAAGAACTAAATGGTTTAATTCATTTACAGTTAACCGGTCTAATATGATAATGTACTCAGTTTTACATATTTGAATTTACTTGTATAGACAGTAATGAAATATGTAATTTTTAAACAATTTATTTTTATCATATTTGCATGGTTTTTATTTTCGCCTGGAGGAAAAAATTAATGAACGTGTTAAGAACTAAACGACTTATAATCTTAATAATAAATAAATGAATGTTAAATGGCGAAATTAAATCTCTACTTGGGGTTTAGTGTAGAGTCATTAGGGTTTTTGAAGCAGGAAACGTGAAAAATATGTAATGCCCTCGTCGGGACTCGAACCCTGGACGCTCGAATATTCCTCGAGGATGCTTCGACTTACGCCACGAAGGCATGCGGAAAGAAGAAAGAAAATACCTTATGTCACTTTCAGAGGATCAGAGTTTTTTGAAAGACAGCCGAGGAATCTCTCTTCTTTAGATTGAGAAATTTCTCTGTGTAGAAAGACCTACTACTGTTGACGGCCAACAACAAAATCAATGAACGATAATATTTCAGCCAGAATCTGATTTTTGACGAGAAAAAGGACTGATTGCAAAGGAGTTCTTCATTTTTTTTAACATGCATCATAAATGTAGGAAACGGCCACCTGTAACTGTAACTCTAACAAACGCATATAGATGTACTGTTGCGCCATCTATATGCGTTTGTGCTTAGTGTTAGAGAAGACGATGGCAGTTGAAGGGAAAAAAGTTCCATTCCCCATTCGAAGCTTCTTGTTTTTTTTACTTGTTTTTCTAAAACTGTAAACAAATTTTAGCTCACGTTTTTAGTGTTTCAGGGCTTCTTTCACCTAATGTATACACTTTCCGACATTTGCGATATCTCGTTTCCTGCATAAATACTGGCTAAATATCCAAATGCAGAACTCTGCAAAGAAATCCGCTGTTAAGACCGTCAGATTCGATCAAACCACTTGAATCTAAACCGCAAATATAAATGTTTTCGTGTTAAATATCTACTCCGTATAAGCTCCTACGGTAAAAGAAACCTGACAATGGAGAAAGATTTTTGGTTCAGGCTCCAGTCAAAATCCAAGTCCTTGAACTGACTTCTGACTAAAGAGGAACAATTAAAAGGGCATAGAGCAGCCTCCATTAGCTTTACTTGACTGATACACATCGCGCTTAAATTAGTATGGAAGGAGTAAACGTAAACCCGGTTACAACCTTGGCCTTCGTGAAGGTCCTTTAGGAAGGCCCCATTACAGCGCGTCTCCAGCCTAAGCAGAAATTCGGCACGTATATGCTTATCTATTGCTTTTCCGAACTAGATGTTTTTCGACTAAATAATACATTTAGGTACCGTTGAAGAAAGACTGCAGTGAAATATACTATGTTTATGCAGGATAATCTAGATGGTACGATGACAGAAGACGGCAGTTATGAGTGGAATGGCGATGGGCTACATATTTGACGATTAAGTTAGTAATTTGTTCCAATTACATTTAATTTGTTAATAATTTTCTTTAATTTTTATACCTTACATATCCCCCTTCAAGAAGAAAAAAACTTAACGATAGAAAAGCCTTATTACTAAATTAATTGGCAATAGCCCTTTAAATTGTTAATTTTAATTCAAATATATCCAGCTTCAAGGAACTTTATTGCACCATTTGCGTCATCAATTTCTTTGCAATGCTGTTAACTCTTGCCCAGTAACTGTACAGGATTAAAGCCAAGGAACCAAGCCTATAAAAGCCCTGCCACGATATACGTCTTTTCTTTCTACGCTTGCTCATGTTTAATAAACCCACGTTTCTTCGATTACCTGTACTCTCCATTATTTAAGATGTAACTGCATATAAAATCTTTGACAGATTAAAGGTTCTATATATAGCCTCAAACAAACTTCAAGAGCAGAAAGCAGAAAATGTATCAGTAAAATAGCACAGTACGATACATTTCATGAACAGATCTTTAAAATATTCATAAACGCGTGCATTGTAATATGTTTTACACACATAGAAGATAATTATAAAGTATAATTCAGAAGTTAAATAAAATCTTAAAAAATGCCCTAAGCTAAGTAAAATAACTTGAAAAAAGAAAGAAAGAAAAACTTAGAAGATTTAAATTCTAATGTTGCATCAGAGGGTTTGTTAAGCTTCTTTATGATCTTGCTGAAATCGCAGTTACCAGTATACTGTTTGGACTCACTCCTACTAAAACAACTTTCTCTCTCTCTCTTTTTTTTTCTTTTGTCTATTTAACTTTATTATTAAATATCGTTTTCTTCGCCCTTACGTCACATAAAATTCAACAGCAAAGACACAAACGTATTAAGAGCCCATATTTTTAGAATTCTCGATAGACTGTTATGTGTTACCACACATTTTTGTATTTTTTCAGTCTTTTCTTAGCTCATCATATCAGTGTTAAATTTTGTGAACAAAATGACTTACATAAATTTTGTTTCGCCGTTTTAAATTTATTAAAACATTATTTTCTACCCTATTACGCCACATAAAATTCAACAGCGAAATTCGAAAATTTTTAACAGCAGCATATATTTAGAATCAATGCTGAGTTTTCTTAGTCATCTTGACTTACACAACTTTAGACATTTATTACGAACATTTAGGTTTTTTTAAACTTTATCTGTTAAACATCACTTTCTTCGCATTTATTCCGCATAAAATTCAACAGCAAAATCATAAAATATTTAAAAGTAGCATAAGTTTAGAATTCTCGATAGAGTGTTGACATACAGTTTCTAATATTCCCTATATTACTTCTTTAAAAATAATACTTGGTTTTAACATTTGGTGGCAACACTCTTTTATACGTGTTGTCATGCATTTTTATATATTCTCTATATTGTTTCTTTAAAAATAATGCACGTTGATAACATTTGGTAATGTCTTTTTATTTCAAAAGTTATACGGATAAAAAAGTGAGGGTCGAAATCATCTCTGGTGATAAAAGAGTCATCTAATTTATAAATTCAAATTCATAAAATTAAAATTATCATTTGTGTACAAATAATAGATTAATTTTTTAGATCCTCGTTCTTTAAATAAGAATAAAATGCATCGACGTTTAAGGGCAAACGCAACCAAGAAAAAGAAATCCATATGAAGGGGTAATGAAACTTTTGAAATAAAATTAGTAGTTTTATGAGAAAAATATTCAGATCACCATTTGTGAAAAGGAGAATATGATGAAATTACGCATTATGGCAATTTTATACGGCAGTTCGCAGAGAAAAATCATACTCCAAATCTTAATTTTGCAGATGGAAGACATTTAAACAAATAAAAATTACCAAATTAGCATTCTTTGCTAATCGTATATTGAATCGAAATGTATATGGAAAATCACACTCAGTGTGAGATGTGTTAAAATAACGTTCTGCTCAGCACAATGTGCATTATAACACCACATTTCTTAATCATAATGCAATCTTTCAGGGAAAATGGAAATTATTTTTCGTAAACTAATCCAAACATTGGCATACGGCAGTTAAAGGATTAAAGGAAAGCGAAATGCTGTAAAATAATTTACCTGGAAAATTGAGGCTCCGTATGGTGTCCTCCAAGCGTTCAGGAGGTTATCTTTTCCCGTGGACACGAACCATTTGCCGCAGGACGCGAATTTCAACGATAAGACGCAGCTCTCATGAAGATGAAGTTGATACTTATCAGGTTTACTGCAGTGCAGGACCTCAACATTACTGCTCTCCATTCTAAAGGAAAAATGGAAAAAAAAAAAAAAATTGCTTTAGCAACAGAAAATAAACCTCATCTCGTTAATAAACACTTGAAACTCTATGATTTAAATTGTCATCGATTAAAGAGTAGTTTGAATAAGGAAGAATTCCTGAACCAGTATTTAAAGATGGACTAATATTAAACTCAGTTCGCGTTTAAGTGAGAAAGGGTCCCTTACCCAGCAACAACTGATTAACATTTTACAATAAAGTTTGAAGCAAAATATTTTAGCAAAACTTTTTTTTTACTGATGGTTATTTTTCAATTACAAATTAATTTGTGATATCAGACATTTAGAACATCATGATTTTTCTTACCTTTTATAACTTTATATTCATAAAATAACATAATTAATCACTATCAAAAGTTAATGTAAGTATCGGGTTGTCCGGAAAATAATGCCGGTTTTTGCAACTGTTTATCTTTCCTATACATTTTTAGCAACAAAAATATTAGGAATTTCATTCATTTATATATCTTTTTGAAGTTCTAATTTGGCTCTATATTTCTGTAATAATCATTTTGTTTCAAAATTACTTTGAACATATTTACTCGGTGTTTTTGTTTAGATGTGAAAACGGAATTTTCGGAAAATTTACTTTTATGAGTACAATCTAGGCCACAGCGCAGCACAAACAGCTACTTAACAAAATATGGGGCGAGAAAAGTGTTAATGAATTTACAGTTCAACGGTGGCACCAAAAGTTTCGTCGTAGAGAATTTGACCTGGAAGATCAAGAGCGTAGTGGACGCTCTTCAGCTGTTGATGACGACGATTTGAAGACTTCAGTTGAAACAAACCCTTGCATAACTGTTCGAGAGCTTACGGAGTAGCTTGGCGTAAGCAAAACAACGATTTTTGATCACTTAAATCGTATAGGAAAGTCAAAGAAGCTCGATAAGTGGATGTCTCACGAATTTAGCAAAAATAAAAAAAAATCGCCGTTTTGAAGTGTCATCTGCTCTTCTTCTCCGCAAGAAAAACGACCCCTTTTTTGATTGAATTGTTACGTGCGATGAAAAGTGGATTCTCTTTAACAACTGGCGACCTTCGGCTCAGTGGTTGGACCGCGGTCAGGCACCACAACACTTTTCAAAGCCAAATGCACCCCAAAAGAAAATTATGGTGACTGTTTGGTGGTCTGGGCCGGTCTCATCTACCACAGCTCCCTAAATCTGAGCGACACGATTGTGGCAGATAAGTACTGTCAGCAAATCAACGAAATGCACCAAAAATTGCAACGCATGTGCTCGGCATTGGTCAACAGAGAGGGGCCAGTTCTGCTCCACGACGATGTTCGGCCGCACGTCGAGCATGACCCTACAGAAAATTGAACGAATTAGGATACGACACTCTCCGTCTTCCCTCATATTCGCCTACGCATTAAACAAATTTATCGGGTCCATGTGCATTGAGGATCATGTTGAGAAAATTTTATTCTCAATTTCCTTCTTCCAGAAAGGCTTATTAGAGAACTCAGAAGGATAAGCAAGCATATTTTATAATAAATAGGGTGAGTTAAAATATGGGTACACTTATGAAATAGATGCACTGTGTTAATATACTACAGGGAAATAGTGAATGGTATAGTAAATTTGACCCTCGATTTTTATTTTTTTTCATTTCAAAGGAGAGTCAAGGGCCGTATTTACATCATTAGTTAAGATGACGCTAAATATGAAACATCTAATTACAATGTGCAGCATGGGCGATTGCATACCAGAATAATAATAAGAATAAGCCAGAATAAGCCTGTGAGATAGATGAGATGAGATATTAGTACCACTGTTGAAGTCAACTGTGAAAACAGAAGGAATGACTGCTTTCTGAGAGAAACATTTAGAAAAGAAAACTCTCTAGAAGCACTCACAGTAGCACTGATGCAGCGACATCGACCTACATAAAAGTAAAATAATCGTGGAAGAATTTGCTAATACATCACAAAAAAAAGAGATAAAGTGAGGTTATTGGTATTATTGTGAATTTCAGTTTTAAGAATTGATTTTCCAATGCCACTGCGTTACTTCTCGTAGTACTGTCATCAAACGATACGATCACGCGTGCAGCCATCTAGAAGAATAAGTTTTCTCCACATTCTCCCGAAAGTGACCAAAAACGATGAAAGTTGAGACTTGATCAAAGCTGCATACAAATATCCAGGGTTCTTGGAAGCTATCAGAACTGGCAAGACAAAAATTATGCGACGCAATGTATAAGTAGTGGTCTTGACATCAGAAATGTGTATGGTTCATTCTTTCGATCTTTTTCTCATCCTCTTACGTTATGCTCATTATGCTACTTTATCTCCACATGCTATTTCATTCCACGTGTTTGTTCTTTACTTTATCATCATCATTATTACCATACTGCATGCAACCATTCGACATAGTTAAAAATGTCTTTAATTTATTTTCGAGATTAAAAATTATATGTTTTTAAGAAACTTGGTGATTTAGAAGCCAAATAATTATTTCTTCTTAACATTATTCCTAAATTTTCTAATAATATCTCTAACTGATGTAATTCGTAATACACCTATACCATTCATACTGCATATCTAATTAAAAATTGTTTGATATTGAAATACAGCTATGGCTAAAGAAACAGATATATTATTTATTTATTTATTTGAAAATTTAAGAACAAAGTCTGTTTAGCATTCCAAATTTATGGATAATGTGTATTGTTTGGACTTTAGGGATATAATTCATTGAGACTATAAGTATATATATTAATTATTGGGCTGTTTCATAACTACATATACTGAGTAGTGGGATGTGTTTTAAGTACATATACTGATTATTAGGCTGTTTCCGTATAGCGTTTTTCTCTAAATTATCCAAAAACTGCATTGGAAAAAATACTTTAAACAGAAATAACATTTACTCCTTAAAAATGATCCATAAAGATGTGTCATTCTTTTTTTTTCAACTCTGAAATTTCTCTCCAAATGATTACTTTTCTCATGTAAACTATTTAGAAGAAAACTGACAGAGCATTCATTGCAACAGCGGAGAATTACAAACTACTATTTTAAGACTCACACATCCGTGGATTATTAATCAGAAAAATTTCAAAATCGGTCAGATGTTCCCTACAGAAAGTTTTTGCAGCAATACAAAATGCCAAAAAAATATTCCCGAAAGTAGGGGTAGGACTTTTAAATAACTTTAAGCAAGAAAAGAATACTTCTCCGAAAAGTCAAGAGGGAAGCCACTTTTATGTGCCAAAGCACTTCAACGTGAAACTGACCTTAATGTAAGTGCCAGAACAATTTGAAGCACAATGGCGAATGAAAAAGTATATTCTCGAAATCCAAAGAAAGCTCCGTTTTTACAAAAAATACATATCAAAAAGTGTACGTGTTTTACCAAATTGTACCATGTCGAAAATGACACTAAAAATCGAATAAATAGTGAAGAAATGTGGTCTGGAGAAATGAAACAAAAATTAATTTGTTTGGAATATAAAATGACATAATAAAAAGCGTTAAAGATGAAGGTGGCAGTATGTTGTTGGTGCTGTTTTCCTGGTACGACGTGGACCCAGTGTTTCAGATATGACATCATGTCCAACAGGTGTAAGCTGATATCTTAGAAAACACAATAATATCATTGACAGACGAGAACATTCCACTCTGCTCATGGCTCATGACTCTATCAACAGTTCTATCAACTCATGCCTGTACCAATGAGATAATTATTCGAAGCATTCAGCAAAGCCAACGGAAATCTAGTTCGAAGGAAACAGAACTGATGTTCCGGCATTGCCCTCTCAGACACCGGACTTGTTGAGAACATACGGAATTAAAAAAATAGAAAATTTAAACAAAAGTAATTTGTATTTAATTTTATTGAAACTAAAACATTATCATCCATCAAATTGGAGGAATTATGGAGCGCTGTGCAGGATGCGTGGAGTTCTATTCCTGTTCAAAAAAGTCAAAAATCATTTTCATAATTGCCTACATTTCACGCAGAATAATGAAGTTGTTAAAGATAAATGTTTTGCAACTAAATATTTATCGGTCGGATGCAAAACTTTTTGTACTAAACACAGCTTTTTGTTTTCAGTAAGAAGGTGTTTCTAGTGTTTTGATCCAATGCATTTTTAGAATAGATCAGAGAAAACATTATGGCATAAGAAAGCTAATAATGTGATTATATCAGAAACAATAAATTATATCATTATACACATTACCCATTAATTAAAAACTTTCAACAGTCATTATTCTTAAATTAAAAAAAATAAAAGGCATTGCTATTTTTTCACCATAACTGTGGTTAAGATGTTTCGTTACAAAGAGAGTACCTGAAGAAAAATTTCAGGCATTCTGAAGATTATAAAATTATTTAGAATTTCTCTAAAAAGTACATTGAAAAATTATGTACACTGCGAGGGAGGGAAAAAAAAAAAAAAAAAAAAAAAAAAAAAAAAAGACAGTTCTACTGAGCCGATTGACGAAATTCAACTTGCGTTTTTGATATTTCGAAAGCGCGACTTAGGATATGTATTATATTTATATATAGCATTGTTCTAATATAGGTATTTTGATACAAATCGGACTTTTTCTGAAATGGCATGCAATTGTTTTCCATGTTTCGATTCTAGGACTCAAATTATGCCTAAATATTAAATTTTGTAAAATTTGGTGCTAAATTTACGGAGAAATTAAAAAAAATTATCTTTGCGGAATTTTTTCAACTTTTGCCAAGAATAATTCACTTGGCGAACTTCTTAATCTTATGGCAACCTATTTTCCTTTCCCTTTTTCCATTCTGCATTAGCGGGAAAAAAGTTACATCGTTCCTACTTTCAAATAATTTTAACAAAATGCGTAAATCACATTTGATGTTATTATCGCTTTCAACAAATATGCCAAATTGCAAACGCGCCAATATATAAATTCATGTGTATCTTCGGAAAATTTGAATAAAAAAGTCTAGGTTTTTGCAGGTATTCTTACAAATACATCTTCTTTAAGATTGTGGTAAAAATTTTATCGATTATCATTCGGAAGTTTTTTTCGAAAAATTTATAAAAATTATTTTAAAATACAAATTTAAAAAATAAATGATAAAAAATGGGCGAAGTTTATTTGAAATGAACCTAAACTTCGAAATGTGAAAGGAAGAATCAAATAAGTTTAATAAAAAAAAGAGAGATTAATAAATATATCCAAAATTCAATTAACATTGAAGAGCTAATTTGTTAAAAACTATTAATGCTATTTTTACAAAACATGGCAGTTTGGCATTATTTGAGTCGTAGAATCGACATATGGAAAAAAATTGCATGTTATTTCAGAAAAAGTCCGATTTTGGGTCATATACAACATATATTAAAACAATGCTATATATAAATCTAATATATATCCTAAGTCGCGTTTTCGAGACATAAAAAACGCAAGTTGAATTTCATCAATCGGCCCAGTGGTACGGAAGACATAAAACTATCCTCTTCCCCCCTTTTTTTGTGAAGTGTACGACAAGATAAGCAATTAGTTATGATTAGCTTAAATTTATGTTAAGTATACGAAGGTCAGATAGCGTATTTAATTTTTTTATTTTAAAATTTTTATATACTCCCCTCAAAATTTAATTTTTTTTGGAAATGTTAGAGTATTTCAAACAGTATTGACTCAAAGAACCCCTAACACCTTTTCTGAACTTCTAAAGCTACATTTTTTATGGAAACCTAATAATAATAATGAATGTTAAAAAAAGCATTGGAAATACTCGTATATGAATTTTATTGCACGATATTAAGAAAATGAAAAGAAAATAATCATTACTTCATTACAAGTTTACTTTAAAAAATAGATTTTATTTATATTATTAATGGTAACTAGAAGAACAGTAATGAAATGTTTCATTTAATTATCTTTCTGAATGGCTAGTCTGCAGGCCACATGTTAATAAAATATTCTTTCAGATTTTGAGTTTAATTTGCGGAACTTCTAGAGATTTTACTTGAAACCTCTAAGCTTCCACAGAACGCAGTTTGAAGACACTATGTTAGACTGCAATTTGAAATTTTCAGATCGCATATTTTTACATGACTAATTTATAAAAGAATAAATTATAATCATGAAAATTAAACAACATTAAAAATAAAACAAATAAACAATAGAAATGTAATTAATACATGTGAATTAAAAAACTTTGCGTTTGGTAGACTATGCAATTTTACTATTATAGTTGGCAAGTCTCATGAGTTTTAATTAAATCCTTTTAATCCTTCTAATGAATGCCTTACAGTTAAACGGTGTAACGGATTACTTTATCTTTCAGTTACAGTCTAAGACAGATCATCATAACATAATTAATCATAATGGTAAGCATCCGAATATACATTAGAATATTACATTAGAAATATCTGAATATTACATTAGAAAATATACATTACCCGACTGCAAGCCACTCTCCAGTTGGACAGTAACCCAAAGAAAATATTTGAGAGGTAAAGTCGTGTTGCTGTAACTGACGACCCTACAAATAAAACAGCATAAAATTAGCAGAAACATCTGAAGAAAAACTTCGTGTTACAACTCAACACATAATTTAGAAAAACTGCTAAAACATGCTGAAATGCTTCAAATGAAGGGCAAAACAGACATTCATTTTGAATGATCATGTTTTCTTCATTACATAATGATTTAAACATGTTGTTAGCTTAACTGAGTTGAATAATATGATGAATTTTTTATTATCTACATCTAATCGAAAAATTTAATCGCTTAATGAATAGTTATGTAGCACATCAGATCCAATCGATTTATCCATCAAACTAAATTAAAAAGCTTTCCATACTTATTGCATCAAAATTTCGTTTCTTCACGTGTAGTGAACAGACCGACTCTGATTTGGCAATAGAAATAAATAAATAAATAAAGGGGGGAAGAAGAATGAAGAAAAAAAAAGAAATAGAGATTTACCTCTCTTAGATCCCACGACCTCACTGTGTTGTCCAGACCTCCTGTCCAGAGTTTTGTGCCATCACTGGAGATGTCTATGCAGCTCGCGCCGTCTGTGTGACCTTGGAATTGCCTGTATTAAAACAAAAAATAATAAAACAAATTACCAATAAATATGCGGGGAGAACATTTGTGGAAAACTGAAGAACTAGGTAATTACAGAGCGTAGAACACTCCATTACCTGACTAGATTATTATTATGGAGGTCCCAAACAGCTATATTGCCGTCGCTACAACAGCTGAAGCACACTTTGGAATCTGGGCTGATGGCCAGAGCGTAGCAAGCGGGAGCGCTGGACGTCAGTTCCGATTTGATACGTGGCGTAGGCTACAAAAGAACACAAGTATGTAATTTTCGAAAACTGAAAACAATTCCCACATCATGTTGATTAGAAACACAAAGGCCGAGAAATAAGAAGACAGATACATCATTAACATTGCGCATTTTTTTGAAAATACTATTCAGGGTCTTTAGAGAGAATAGTAATAGTTATTTACCAGAGTAAATGATTAATTGGAAAATTAACATGGATTTTACGTACTAATTTTATTAAATTCTCATAAAATATCATCGTCAACACAAATACTTCTACGACTCAGCTGCGATAACATTTATCAAAACATTTCAGAAAATTCTATTTCATTTGATAACTTCTAAGTAACCGTTACTTTTGCTAGAAATATGGAATATATCGACAGGATCACGGTAACAGAATGTTAAAAAGTATTTCAGAACTCTAAGACTTTCACTATTTAAAATCTAATGTTACTGAAAGCTTATGAGATACTAACCACAGCTAAGATTTGATTAATCGTTATAGCTATACTAAAATACCACTTCGCGCTATCAATTTTCGCTGATTTGATATAACAGATTTTTTCTAAATCTCTTTCCAGAAGATTGCCATAATCGGTTATAAATTGAGTGAAACTGGCTACTATAATTGATTATAAAGTAGCTATAAATTGGTTCGAAAACTAGTCATAAGGGGCTTATAAATTGGTTATAACAGATATAACCAAGATAAAATTATATATTGAGCTGATAAATATCGAACTGATTCATTACAATAAACACTATCCAATAATTTCCAATACCCAATAACTATCCAATATCCAATAATAAACACTATCCGATTATAAATTGAGTGAAACTGGCTAATATAATTGATTATAAAGTATCTATAAATTGGTTCGAAAACTAGTCATAAGGGGCTTGTAAAGTGGTTATAACAAATATAACAAAGCTAAAATTATATATTAAGCTGATAAATATCTGACTAATTCATTGCAATAAACACTATATAATAATTTCACTTGTAGAATATACACTTTTTTGACTGAATGATTGAGCATTTTTAATTACTAGGTTCGATAAGGTGTGCTATTTTATCTGACAGCTCACACTCGGAATAAAGTTAACCCGAATACAGAGAGAAAAGTACGAGTGGTGCACATCCGCTAAAGAATATATTTCGTAAAGTTACTTTAGCAGAAAAGCTCTTATTATTAGAAATATGCTAATAAATGAATGCGATGAATAAACTGATCTTTAAAACTTGTATTTATTTAGGTCATTTCCATAAAATTGTTTTAAGATCTCCCATTTCGACGCAGAAACAGCTTTTTCAAAGCAATTTAAAAAAAAAATCTGATGTGTACACCACATGACTTCCTCACACGAAAATTAAACGCATTTTTTCTTGCATTTCATTTAAACTTATTGAATTGAATTAAATCTACTTCGCCGACAGCGCATAAACCACAATAGAATAAATGCATTTTTTAAAATTCACTCTAGTATTTGCTTACCATAGCGACACTCTGGCGCTAGATTCACTTAACAGTAGTATTATATTTCGTTCATATTATAACTCATAATGCACAAAATTTATATCATTTAAAGAATAGAATTATCTAATCGTTGCCACATGTTCTATTCAAATACAATAATAAAGCTAGAATGATGTATAAAAGAAATTAAGCAAACAAAACAAAAAAGAAACAGTTTTTCACAGACGATTGAGTACTTCTCATTCAATTAATTCAGTTCTCACTTCGCGAGAAGGCAAAAATACATAAAAACTCAAAATATATATATTAAAAATTACGAAGTAAATCTTAAACACTTATATCCTCGAAAAAATTCCAGAAAGGATTAAGCATGATTTAATTCGCAATAATAAATGAAGGCGTTATCTCTGTTGTTGCGAAGCTAAGTTGCTCTAGATTGGCAACAAATCCACTAGTCTCTTGTTTCAAATGTAAACAATCAATGGCCGCCATAAAAAAAAAAGCTTAGCGGCACTTAAACAACTTTAAAATTGTTGATAATTCTAAAAATATTGCATACAGATTTACTAAAGGCATAAAAACCTTAACCGGAAGATAAAAACAACATAATTCAATCATTTTTAAAGCAAAAAATGTACAATTTACAAACATATAAGAGTAAAGGAACTGAGATCACTGAGCTGGGTAACAGAGAGTGATATATATATTAAATATATTTATATACGTTTGGTGCGGCCGATTGCAACCAAAATACGAGGTGCACATCTGCATGTTATAGCAGTCCTATATACAAAATTTCAACGTTCTGAGGCTACTCGTTTTTGAGTTATGCGAGATACGTACGTACATACGTTCGTACAGACGCCACGAAAAATTCTCTTCAGAATTAATTTTAAAGATTTTAAAGATTTTAAAGATTTAAATTTAAAGGTTCCTTATTTTTGTCGGAGGATCTTCGAACGAAATTTCCTAATAAGATTTTAATGATATCTGGAAAAAAAAAGTTTTTATCCAAATTTTTGTCAAAAGCGAAAGAACAACACCACTGATCAAGTCCTTAATTTTATTACAAGAAATTATCATATATATATTGTTATGAAATGCCCAGCGGTACGAAATGCCAGGGTTGCCAGATTCGGCGAGAAATAGCCCATTTGGCGATATCCCATGGACGGATGGAGAACATTCTGGAACGAATTATTACCTATTTGGCCCAGAAAGTTCTCGAAGGCATGCCAAAAATCTATATAAACACCGCCTGTACGCGGAGTAGCAGTATAGTCTAGTGTCGAGTTGGTCGTCGACTGTATCGCGGGTTGGTGCATCGACAGCGTGCACCGTGAATGCATCGTCGAGTGTGTCAGGAGTTTTATCGTGAAGAGTATCTCGAGTGTGTTGAACTCCGAAAGCAATCGACCGAGTCGGGAGCTGTATTTAGTGTTTTGCCGCGAAGCTGTCTTCACCGTTATAGCCGGATAGCCTGAAGGCTGTGTTGCTGATTGTTTCAGCCCAAACCAGAATGTTACCAGAATATCGTAGTTTTTCGAGACTCTAAACATGTCTATGGAACTCTCCTGTGAAATACTGGCGAATGAATTGTGTTTTCATTCTTCATCAAGTGTTGTCGTCTATCACTCCTAAGACACGAACTCGCACAAATCGGTTTGTGATTAAAATTGCTACACCAGAAAGGAAAAAAAGAAAGAGAATCTTATTTATTAAAAGTATACAGTACATTTGGAGGAAGACATGATTTAAATTGCAGGTGGTTTGGGGTACACAGCGTGTAGAATTCAGTACGCATAGCTGCCACCGTTATCAGCAATAACAGCTGTAACCCGGCTGGGTATCAAGCCGAATTGAGCTTGGATAACAAAATATGAGTACTTCATTCGATGCAGCTTCAACTATTTGCCAGAGTTTATCAAGCGTAGGGGCTTGCGAGTGATGGCATGTCAGTTTCTCAGTAACCCATGACCAGATGTTATGAAAGGGTGAGAGATCTGAAAGACATACTGGCCAGGGCAACAATCCTGACCTTCTACATCGAAGAAGGACAGCATGGGCAATACTCGGTCGTGCATTATTTTATTGAAATATGGCGTCACGCAGGATCCGACGATAGACCACAGCCACAGACCAACACACCAGAAATGTAACGGCGGCCGTCCACCTTACCGGGTATGCGAACAAGAGGTTCCCGGGATGTGTACCAAATGGCACTCAATACCAGATTGTCAGTTCCTGGGCCCATATGAGGATAATGAATGAAAGCTGGCAACATTCGTTCTGCTTGGTGCTTCCATGGATACGTCCATCATGATGCTGTATGCAGAACCAGGATTCGCTTAAAAAGACGTATCCAGTGTCATCGTTCTTCGCACCACTGTAAACGCGCCTGGCTCTGCTGCAGCATTAAGGAAAGCGGCAATACTGGTCGTCGTGCAGACAGTCCGTGGTGCTGCAGACGTCTTTTCACTGTAAGTGCGAACATTTATCCTGCACATGAGGTAAATTCCTGACTTAGGCTACGTGACTTGGCTCTACGATCTCGCAAGGCCAAGAGGATAACATATCTGTCCTCTGGGCGTTAGTGGTCCAAAACTGCTGAGGTCCTGTAAGGCATTCATTATGCCCCTCTTGGACCCATCATATCCATAGTCATGGAATCCCGCCCAACATAAGCAGTAATATTGTGGAACTATAAACTACTGTCTCGATAGACCAGGATATTGGTGCAGTTGAATTCTGACAAGTGATGGTAGAAATTTCTTCTTCTTATACGAGGCATGACGCAACCTGTACACGAACAACCACCGTTCGAATGAGATTTCCAAATGAGAAACCTGTTGTCCAGTCTCCCCATTCATACTCAATATAGGTGCATTACATATATATATGTCTTTTTCAAATTTTAGCTTATATTTCTGAAAAAATCTAAAGGAATTGACATTAACGTCGGCAAGTGTTATTTTTCTCCTCAGCTTAAAAGGTAAAACATATTGCTTCATTGAATTCAACGATAAAATCTGAATTCAAAGAAAAGAGAATAAAAAAAAATATTTTATTGAGGAAACATTTGCCCTATTTTAGATTTCTTAATAACAGAAATCTGCATTTCTTAAAGTTAAAACCAAAGAAATCCGTTTTCTTTAGCCTTCTTATGCTAGCTGTCATAGGTAACAAGTTTCAAATGCCCAAGAAATGTGGTATGTGTTTCTTTTACTCTGTACTCTACTTATTATTCTTAACTTTAGAATTCCGGAGATAATTAGATGATAACAGAAAAAGGATTCTTCCCCTGTTACATTAATTTGTTGCAATAAGTCTTGCTGTTTGAATTTCACAATACATTTGAGAGATAATAAAAATCTCATTACAAGTGCTATTTCATTTTCCAGAAGAAAAGTTTTGCAAAGAGAAATATTTCATTATCATTTCAAATATCATTTCGTAACTTTTCTTTCATTTCCATTAAACAGAATATCATAAAACTTCAAAATTTGAACACATTATAAAGTCATACCACTTCAA